AAGCAAGGATCAAAGCTAAAAGTGGGTACACTTATCAGAACTGTTGGAGTCATTGTGCTATATCAGGCACCTTCAAGTGGTTCTCATGGACTTAGTAGTGCCCGTGCAAAATAAATCTGAAAATCAAAAAAAAAAAAAAAAAGAAAAGAAAAGAAAGAAAGCCCTGGCAGTCTGCTTCCAAAAGGTCACAGCCATGAATGCCCTACGGAGCGCAGTTCTACTCTGAAACATATGAGGTCGCCGTGAGTCAGAATCGACTCAACAAGCAACTGGTAGTGGTGGTGGTGAACTTCAAAGCATTTAAAACTCAATGTTCTACCCTGCTGCTTCAGGTCAGGGCACCTCAAAGGCATGCAAACTCGACCTCAGTCACAGGTGGTTGCCAAGCTAGGCCACGCCAAGTCCTCTCCTCTCACTTCCACCTCACTGCTGGGAGGGGAGCTAGGAGGCATTCTCAAATACAAGTTCGAGTGACCTATAGGAACGTTAAGGATGGGGCTTTCCTTGCTGACTTACGGAAGTGAATTCTCAGTATTGTACCCATCCAGTCTGGCATCATTTTGAACAAAACTGAACTCCTTGGCTTCATTTTATGAAAACTGCATGTCCAAAGCAGCGTAATAAGGAACAAGAAAGGCATGATTTATAGCCCTCTGCATATAGGAGATTTCATTCTGCCTTCTGCTCAATGGCTTATCCATTGTGTGAGCAAAGTCAATACCAGTAACGAAATGCAGACCGAAGGGCTAAATCAATTCAATACAATGCAACAGAAAGACCAGAAGACGGAGTAAATCTGGAAAGGCTAGTGCTGGCAAGATTAGTATTTGGACAACAGGTGATTACAAAAATCAATACCTGTATGTGAAAACGTGACAGGTAGCCATCCGTCACAAAGGTAGAACCAATTACTAATAGTTTGGGCCCTGAGTTAGGATGACAGACAAAATAGGCCTGTGCAAAATCCCTGTTAGACATTCTATATCCGTGTGTGGATGTGTGTGCTCACACATATGTGCCTCCCCATGTGAGTAGGGGAGAGAGAGAGAAAGGGAAGTCCAGATGCCTCACTTTGTATTTTATTTAGGCCTTCTGCACCTTCCCTGATTCTCTGGCCAACTTTTAGAAACTCTGATCTCACTTCCTTGGCGGTATCAGGGCGTGTCCTCAGTCCTACATCGCTCTTGCCCTCCCTCTCATCCAGCCTCCTAGATACAGGTGACCTCATTCTCATGAGGTTCTGGCAATGTCTGGACCCTTTGAGAGTCGGAGGAGGAGACTGACATCCATCATAGGAACTATGTGCTCGAAGCTGGAAGAATCTTTACAGTGAGCGGTGACACAGTCAACTTCGAGGACCAAACCAAAAACCCAATCAGTTGCCATCGAGCGGATTCTGACTCCTAGTAACCCTGTAGGACAGAGCAGAACTTCCCCACAGGGTTTTCAAGGTTGTAAATCTTTACAGAAGCAGATTGCCAGGTCTTCCTCCTGCGGAGCGGCTGGTGGGTTCAAATTGCCAACCTTTCAATTAGCAGCCATAACCACTGCATCACCAGGGCTCCTGACCTCAAGGACACCCACAGCAAAGTAAAAAACACACACACACATATACATGAAACCAAATCATAACCTAAGAGTCTTAACTGTGTTCCTGCCCAAAAGTAAGTGACTGAATGAATATTCCAGTGCCAAGCGGTTTTCATGCTGTGGCTGCTAGATGCTGTGGAGTTGATTCTGACTCTCAGTGACTCCATGTGATAGAGCAGAACCGCCCCATAAGGGTCTTCTTGGCTGTAATCTTTATGGGAGCAGATTGCCAGGTCTTTCTCCTGTGGAGCTGCTGGGTAGGTTTGAACTGCCAAGCTTTTGGTTAGCAGCTAAGTGCTTAACCACTGAGCCACCAGGGCTCCTTGATGTTTTCATACATTAACGTATTTAATTCCTAAAAGGAATGTAGAACAGAGGTATTATTATCTCCATTTTAAAGATACGAGCCTTGAGAGGACAATTAGCTTACTCAAGGTCACATTGCTGGTGGTGGGGACGTGGTGTTGGGAGCTACATCTGTCTGACGTTGACCCATGAGCTGTTGGCCACTCTACTCACTGTCTCCCAGGGTGGGGGCAATGGGGGAGGTGGGTGTGGATGGGATCTGGGGAGCGGAGGTGTTTCCGATTTAGCAGCAAACAAGTCTATCACCTGTGGTCAGGGTGTCGCCATTACTGAGAGGCCACAAGGCCACTGACTGAAAACTTCCCCAGGCCATGAAGGCTGTGCTGTCACTGGACGACCCCTAGTAATAAAGGGACTGACTCCATTGTTCTTATTTTTGGACTGCTCACAGATTTTAAGTCTCACCTCTGTGCAAACAGACAAGAAAGCCCAGGTGCTGCCCATGAGGCAAGAGTTTCAAACAAGCCCCTGCCCCCATGCTGGAACCCTTTCCCTGGGGCTACCCCGTAACCACCATAAAAACCCCAAGCCAGCCTCCTTTCCTTGATCTCTTCAAACACGCTTGGGAGCCACCTGCTCTCCCCTGAAAGCCTCATGATGTAAGCCGTAAACCTTTGTATGCCCTGTTGGTGTGTGTGGCGTGATCAGTCTCAGCATCCAAAGCAAATTTTAGGTGGGGTCCATCCCAACTCTGTGGTGACCACCACACCCCTGAATCACTTTATCCCAACAGTGGAATGAAATGCTTCTGTGACCTTTACAGAAACTCTCAGTCTTTAAAAACATGATCCTGTAATCATAAATCAGTTCTTCATTTTGAAGGGCCATTTTGCTTTCTATTAAAACCAGAGAATGACTAAGAGAACTTTTATTTGGGACAGAAGCCACACAACTTTCACTTGTTTTTAGATCATTTTAACAGTACTTTTTGACATTTCAAATTTATCTTAGATGGACTATATTATTTGAGATATGAAGATTTCTCAGCGACAGCATTATTGACACTTTGGGCTTCATAATTCTTTGTTTTGGGGGCAATCCTCTGCATTATAGTATGTACTGGGGTATCCCTCGCCTCTACCCACTAGATGGCAGTAACAACCCTACCCCCCATTGTGGCAACCAAAAATGTCTCCAGATATTACCAAATTCTCCTGGGACACAAAATTGGACCCGGTTGAGAACCACTGCTCTATATTAATTCCACAAAGAAATATGACTTTTCTGATAAGGACAAACAGGAACCAAGTCCTTTGCGGTCCCAGTGGAAAAGAGAGAGAGAGAAGAGAAAAGAAAGATAAAAAGCCACTAGGCTATATACATCTCGGTGCAAGCAAGCAAGCAAAATCTATAATAGATTGCAATTATATTTTCAGACGTTTTCTTTCCACTCCTAAACTAATTTAGACTCATCTTCAAAATTGCCTGCATGCTATGGAGAGGACTCTTTATAGCTTGGAAGATCTCTTCTAAAAAATTGGACTACTCAGCCACTCATATGCAAATGCTAGTCTTTTGTCTAGAAAAGTCCAGTGAGCTGCATGGACCACTGTAATATTTCAGAAATGTCACATACCACAATGAGTGCACTTTTGGAAGTTGCACAGAGCCCGAGGCCTGGAGTTTGCGTGACAGGCCACGGGGCCAGGACCAGAGGTGGGAGAGAGCACAGACAGCCAAGAGAGCTGGCGAGGCAGGAGACGGCCAGGTCCAGCGAGGCCAGGCGGCCACAGGGACAGTCTGGTCTTTATCCTAAAGACAGTGGGAGCTCTGAAGGGTTTTAAGCAGGGAAGTGACACCGCCAGGTTTGTGTGTTTAGATGACTTGGGTAGGGGAGGGTGGTGAGGTGTGAGGTGACTGACATGGTCTGTGGGGTGAAAAGTGGTTAACCAAAAACACTGAGCATGTTAACAATTATTTTTTACATTAAGGTCACAGATAAGAGAGTCTTTGATGAAATACATATACCTGCATTATGTCTAATGGTACCTTTGCAAATAACTCTGAGTGCTTGCTTATAATATGGTTTATGGTCTAAAGTCTCCTTCCTATCAAAGACCTTTCCAGGAAGGAGAGGACATACCCTGTCCTGACTGTAGTAATTTTGGTGGACTGGCGGGAGACAGTAAGAGATGCTGTGTACTCCTTTAGGACTGTGGAGCAGAGACAATTCCAGAGACGGAATAGGCAAGAGCAAGGTAAATCACACCAAAAGTGCAGTATCTGACCAGGCAGCAAGGCTGCTAACCAAGACGTCGGCAGTTCGATTCCACCAGACGCTCCTTGGAAACCCTACGGGGCAGTTCTACTCTGTCCTACAGGGTTGCTATGTGCTGGAATCCACTCAGTGGCAAACACCACCACCACCAACCTTTCTCGATACCAGCACGTGTTTTTGGTCTTCTAATCCTCCGTATTCAAATATTTAAAAAAAGGAAGACTATCTGCATAGGCATAACAGTTAATTAGATGAAAAGTGTATGTTTCAGTCTTAAATATGGATCTGCATTTTGAAAACACAACTTGAGTTTTCCTACTTCTTTTCCCTTTTGACGTTACTCTAAAAACCCTAGGTGACTTTTATGGATTGAATTGTGTCCCTCCCCAAAATATGTGTTGTAAATCCTAACCCCTGTAGTGGTTAGAATCTCATCTGGGGATGGATTTTCATTGTTAAGTTTATGAGACATTATTAGCGTAGGGTAGGTATTAGGTCAATCTCTTCGGAGATACGGAAGAGATTAACCAAGTAATCAAGAGAGCAGAGATGGGGAAGACAGATGCCAGGACACATGAAGCTCACCAAGGAGCCAAGGAATAGAAGCTGATGAGACATGGACTTTCCCCCAGAGCCGACAGAGAGAGACAGCCTTCCTAGGGCCAGCACCCTGAATGGGGACTTCCAGTCTCCTAAACTGTGAGAAAACCAATTTCTGTTTGTTAAAGCCACCCACTTGTGATAGTTCTGTTACAGCAGCACCAGATCACGGAGACAGTGATTGTGAATCTGACTTCAATCATTTGAGAATTCAAGGAGTGCTTACCTCAGCTTTAATTTTATTGTCTCCAAAACAGAGGTGTTGTAAATAGGCTGCAGCATTAGACTGGACGGAAGGAAACTGATGTTGCAACATCTGAATCACTTCAGGCAGTTCCGGGTCTCTCCATCCAAATTCTCTGAACAAAAGGAAGACAGGAGAACAGGAGAGATAAATCCCACCGCACTGCTAACATACGGACAACTCATAAAATCACCTGAGAGTTTACGTGGCAACAGTCCACAAATGATGGTTCTGGTGTTCTTACACACACATCCACTTAAAAGAGGGCTTTAAAAAGATTTCCTTGAGTAGATAGTTCGAAACTTTATACATATGTACACATACATATATTATATGAAGACCATATATATTTATATATAGAAATAATCTTAAATGCATTAACCAAAGTTACATGTTTTTGAAGATGATGAAAATAGAAATTTTAAAATGGTACATGATTTTATATACATACGTGTGTGTGTATATGTATATATATATATATATATACACACATATAATTCATTTGGGATTAAATGGATTTTTAATGCCGTATTAAATATCTCATATATTATTTCAACAATCCAATGACTCAGGGACAACACTGAGTTAAATTACTAGAGAAGAGAAAATATGACTGGAATCATCCATCCAAATTGTCATGATAGCTTTGCTGTTATTATTATTGCTCTCATTATTATCGTAACCATCTCTTTAAAAATAAACAGATTCTCTAAATGATTCTCTGGGGATAAAAGTACAACAACAAGAAAAAACTTTATAAAAGGAAAACATTTGTTTAAAGAGCTAGGCTTACTGAGACAATGTTAACAAATTTTATGCATTGCATTCTTTTCCTGTCTTCCTTTTACATCTGAGCTGCTCTAGGAAGTCTGTTGTCTACAGTACTGTAAGAAATATAAGATATTTAGGTCCATTTCCAAACACAAGCTTGATTGTATTATTATGCAGATGAATATTCTTTTATGAAATCAATCAACCCAATCTGTTAGAAAATGGTGCTAACAAAATCAGTTGTATGGAGTCCACTCCTGGAGCAGGGAGCCATTTTTTAACAGCTAAATAAAAAAGAAAGCAATCTCTGAGACCACAGATAGAAACCTGACCCCACGGGCCTGAAGGATAGGCTGGCAGAGAAATGAGGGGTTTGCAACAACACATCTCTCCTCCTGGTGGAACAACTCAGAAACACACACGCACTGATGCCAGGTCATTGCGGCCGCCTGGGAAGAAGAGGCAAGGAAAACGGGCAGAAACACAACAGACAAAGGGCAAAAGTTTCTTTGTAGAGTCTAACCTGTTCTCTTCATCTTTCCTTTATCACAACTGGTAGTGGTTGTCAAGCAAACCTTGAATCATGTTGCTGCTTCCCCTTACGGCAAATGGTAACAATTATGAAACAGTCTGCCTTTTGAATTGGCTTGGTTTTTATTGGAAAGATAAAGCATTCCATTTAATGTGCATTAAGTATTTAGCAAATTTATATAAAATCTTAGGCGGGTACGTACGTTTTCTCAAAAGGACATACGGTATGGTAATACAGTTGCTACAAAACGTATTTAAGTGATTGCTGATTGCTGATTGCTGACAATGGACAGCCCATTGAATTCTTCCTGGCTGTGTGATCACAGAGGAAAACAATTATGGCCTGAAAAACGCAAAACCTGTTTTTCTTGTTTATTTAATTTTCTTTTCTTGCATGATTCTAAACCACCTCTGCAATACCAAGATAGCATGATCCTCCTGCTTGTAATAACAGCCTCCTGGAATTATATTCGGTGTACAAATTGAATCAATATCTATGGAATAACTGTAAATTAAAATTAGAAGTGTCATGGAAAGACCGTGGATGGTTAAGATGAGTGCAGGTAAGCTCATGCTTTTGGAAAGCGATTAGTAAAGAATTCATTTCAGTGTATTTTATAAGCTAGAAGGTAATTGCTCTATTAGGCAAGGTTTTGTATGGCATGTATCAGAGCATTTTTTTTTTTTTATATATTTTATTGTACTTCAGGTGAAGGCTTACAGAACAAATAGTTTCTCATGAAACAGTAGTACACACGTTGTTTTATGACATTGGTTAACAACCCCACAACATATTAACCTTCTAAATTCTCAACCTTTTTTTTTGGTGAAAATACACACAGCCAAAGATACACCATTTCAAAAATTTCTACATACACA